TTGATACATTTTTAACATACCTAGAGCCTATTGAGTCACATGTATAATTATTCACATTATAAATGAGAAGCAAAAATATTGAAAAAAGTTTCCAGTTATGAAAGTTTCCTATTTTGAAAAGGGGTTCCAAAATGAAAAATTTTCTTAAATGGAAAGTTTCCTTAATTAGAAAGTTTTCTATTTTAGAAATAAGTTTCCTAATTTGGAAGTTAAATCCAAATTTGAAAGCAAATAACCTAAAATGAAAATGAGTTTCCTAATTTAAGTTAAAGGGTATTTTAAAAAATTATTTCCTAAGGTGGACTCGCCTAAAATAATCTAAATTATTTATTTGGATAGTCCAAATAAATTAATTGGGCTAAAATGGTTTTGGCTCATTAGGTTTAATTAAAAAGCCTTAAGATATTTTGTGGGAGGATAAACATCAACCTTATTGGATAAGGATGAATGTTTTTAAGATAATGATTAAAAGTCCACAAGTAAAATAACTCTTCATCCTTGGAGGATAAGGAAGCAACAACCTAGAGTCTTAAAAGGACTTAATGCCGTCGCACTTTTTGTCCTTGGAGAATAAGGAAACTCTTTTATAAATACATGAGAGAGAGAGGTGCGGACATAACACAAAAAAAAAAAAAAAAAAGGAAAAGAGAAATTTTGGCCAACCCAAAAATAATCACTAGTGGTACACAACCAAGAGAGAAAAAATAGGAGAAAATAGTTTTCTCCAAAACCCTAGCAACTAACACTCTTTCCTTCTCTTTTAAGGTTGTTACAAAATTGCTTGAGATTTATTTTCTATAGAAAACACTACACAAATAAAAAAAAAAAGGTGGAGATAACACCCTACTAATTTTGAATACTTTTTTGTGAATACTTGGATTGCATAAATCATCAATAGAGGTCGGATACTTAGACGGCTTTTTTAATAAAAGAATTTAAATCTGCATTATAAGAGGTAATCCTTTATTTATTGGTTTAAATTCATGTATGTATGGTTAGTAGATTCAACGAGTTAATCTTAGACCTTTAGATTGAGGAAATTTTTTTGTTTATTTTGCACCTTTGTAGGATGCATAATCCTTTAGTTATCTTTTCTTCATGTAACCAACTCTTACTTATGATCTTTGAATAGGTTTTATAGTTATCTTTAATATTAGGTGTTGATTCTTTTTTCTATTATTTCTCTATTTTAAAGCTTGTCATTTGATGTCCACCTATGACGGGAATGAAGGAAAAAGTGAACAATACCTAACTAATAGTGAAACAACAACATTTCATCCATGGTTTTTTATTTTTTTTTGTCCAAAACGATTCATCCAACTTATGAATATTTTTTTCCTTTAATTTATTTGTCTTTTCCACTTTGATCCTTGGTCTTTTCTTCTTTAATTTTTAACTTTATTTATTTCAAGTACTTGTTTTTAACTCCTCTCAATTGTATCCTCCAATTGGGCATTTTCTTTATCCTATAATCAACATTTTTCTTTCTTTTTTCTTTTTGATCTTCTTTCGCATCAATTTCTCTCGAGTGTGCCTCGATTCTTTTCTTTCATTCTTTTTTATCCTTTTTCTTGTTGTTTTTCATTTAGTCCCGTTTCGAAATTTCTTTCTATTATTTTTTCTTGTGGGCATTTTTTTTTCAATTTCAACAACAACAAAAAAATCATAGAATTGTTTTGATAAAAATGAAATTTTTTTAGGGGTCAAGAACAAGTTATTTCAATTTTCTTGATATGTTTGATGTTTTAAACTTCTAGATTTTCAATTATTTTTATTTTGTAATTTTTTTAATTTATATTTCTAGGTTTTTATAAGTTTTGTTAAGGTTTGGAACATTAATATATTTTTTTAAAAATTGGTTTTTTTTGTTGTCTAAAGGACTTTTCTTCATAAAAGTTGTAAAAGGATATATGAAAGAAAATATAAATATGTAAGGACATATAAGAGTGAATTATTATTTATTTTTTTAAGTATATAGAAGAATACACCTAGATAGATGAATACGTTAGTTTGTTTTTAAATATGGTTTTTCTCACAAGCTATCAACAACTTTTGAAAGTTTACTTCTTTTGATCTTAGGGGTTGCTAAAAAAAAAAAATGTTTTAGCTAGAACATTTTTTTAAAAAGGGAGTAAAGGTAGTTTTCCTGAAGATAAAAACTAGATGAATGCATATTTTGGCAAGTCACATGCTATAAGGACCTTTGAGATTAAAATAGAAAATTTCATTGAAGGAAAAAAAAATCAAAATTTACTTTCTTGAGTCATGCAATAGACAGATATAGTCTTTTTTATTGCTTCAATTTTTAGGGGTGATCATTCAATTTTTCGGTTTGATTTTGTTTTTTTGTTTTTTTTTTGATTTTTTATTAACCAAATTGACTAAAACAAAAATTGAAATCGAACCGGATTAAGGTTCGGTTTGTCGATTAAAAACCTTTTTTTTTTTTTTGAATTTTCTCTTGAACCAAACTGAAACGTCACTTTTTTGCAATTTTTTTAATTATATTATAAATATTGATATCCTAGCAAATTTATTTTTTTATTAGTATTGACCATATTTAATTTAATTTATTAAAAGTTTTTTTAATCGGTAGTTTAGAAAAAAGTTGATAAGAACATAAAATGAACAAAAAAATAAAAAATTTAATTAATTTTTTAAAAAAGAATTCTATCATTTTATTTATTGAGAAATATCTCATTTAAATATCTTTTGTTTCTCTAAAAAAACTCATCACTCCGCCACTAATTAGTCGTCAAGAAGACCTTTATTTGAAAAAAAATAGTTTAAAAAATATGTGGAGATTACAAATTTATAAAAGTTAAGAATTGGTATAGAATATAAAAACATATCAATTAAATTATATACTAAAGAGCTTGTAACTAAATGGTAGTGATCTCTTACAAGATATTACGAGTTGAAATCCCAACGGACTAGTTCCGCTAGAAGCCTTGAGTGTGTGTTTAAAAAAAAAAAATACTAATTCGGTTTTCGATGGATACCAAATTTAACAAAAAAAACTAAACCGAAATAATTTCAGTTTTCGATTTCGGTTCTTTTTCAATTTTTTTTTCTTCTAAAACTAGACCGAAATTACTAACTCGGTTCGATTCGATTTGATTTTATTCGAATAGTGCTCACCCTATCAATTTTAAGTTAACTATGATTGGATTAAAATTAATACGTGGTCTATAAGTATCATATTTTGGTTAAACAATAGCGTTAGTAACAAAAATATTCAGGCGAGAGCAATTGGCTGCATGATCATTTATTTTGAGAGAGGGATTACATGACATTCAATTTGCTAATGATTATTTATTTTTATAGTCAAAATGTACCTTTATCTGTTTTATTTTATGAGACAACCTTCAAACTTTATCTGATGATTGTTTAGTCAAGTAGGAACATAGTTTAATATCTTCGTGTTTTTTTAATAGGTAATGATGATTGCATATATATATATATATAGATAGAGAGAGAGAGAGAGGAGGTTATTTTTTCACCTTTATAAAATCTATAACTAAAAAATTGAACGATCCTTGTCATTAAAAAAGTATTCATAAAGTATAATAATCCGAGATTATTATACAAATTCGGTCCACCACCTAAGAACTTTGAGTAAATTAATAGAACTGTTACAAATAATTAAAATTGTTCAAATCATCTATTTAGTAATTCATAATTAGAATGTGAATCTTTTCAGATTTAATAGCAAATTCAAAATTATAAAATAAAATAATTAATAATACATCCACTATAACATGTTGTGGACAAATTTAGTAATGTGTAAAAAAATTATTGATTTGTTCCATAATTTTAAGTAGTGACGTGTGTAATAATTTCTCCAAATAACTCCTTTTTTTTTTTTTTTGTTGAAGTTAGAAAAACCCTTTTAATAGTTATAATTATTGTTACAATATTATATTTCAAACACTATAAAAATCAACCTAAGTTTCTAACTTTAATCTATAATTAAATTTTAAACATATCTCAACTGTATATATATATACACACACGCAAGATTTCTAGAATTAAAATAAATTTTGAATGATTCATATATATAATCATACTAATTATTAACAATTTATTAATGAGATTGAGTCATGAGTGATATTTATTGACATAATTATTTATTTTTAAATCATACATATAATCATACTTATTTATTTTTAAATCATAGTTGTTGTTTTTTTTTTTAAAGAGAAAGTGATTTATGAGGTGCTGCATGAAAAAAAAAAAAAAAAAAAACTTACAAAAAATAAATAAATAAAATTGGGGTTAAGTCAGGTACCACATGAGTTAGGATTCAAAAGAGAGAATGAATGCATATTACAACTTAGTTCATGTATTTAATAAAATTGGTTAACTAATCTTCATAATTGTAGAAATTATATATTTAATCCCACATATTTCAATCCCTTTATAACTTTATCCCTGGGCATTTTTCTTTCTTTCCAATTTATGTTGCTATTTTATTTTGTCGAAACATAGAATAAAGAAACAATAAAAGAAGGCATTTTTTGAACAAAACGACTAAATTGAGGATGATCAATGCTAGATTACTTTTACCTCAAGGAACTATTGGATATTTTTAATTATATAGGGACTAAATGATTATTTTTACTAAAAAAGGGACTAAGATGTAATTAACCCAAAGCGCGACTTTACAACGCTGTGTCCTTGTGTTGCTCACCCGACCGGCTGGCCCTTATCTGCTTGCCTTTGCTCTCACACTCTCCTTCTCCAGAACCATTTGTTTGATTTCTCTGAAATTAGTTTCTTTTTAAGATTATACAGGACTGGACTAGCATCTGAGTATCTTTTTATTACATTACATAGAAATTAAAAGAAAATGTTGTTAGCATGCAATAGTTGCTGGTCACTCCAAAAAAATTCTCATGGAATAATCATTACCAACAATAATGATGTCCCAAGACAATACCACTACTTGTTTTTGAGTCGCCGGAAGCTCTTGTCCTCCTTCCTCCCTTTTTCCTCTGATGGGGACGTCGTTTCTTCTCACTCCATCTCCATTTCCAGGTTCTCTATCTAATTATGTTTTTTTTTTTTTTTTTTTTTTTGCTACTGGGTTTATGATTAAATAGCCAAATTTTCATGTTTTTGTTGCCCGTGTTTAGTTTTAATTTTGGAAGTTTATGTTTTTCACATTCTTATTAGACTGCAATTAAGTAGTAATTATAGTGCTCTATTTTTGGTTTGTCACTTGTTTGATGGTGTTTATAGGAGGAGTATGATAGATGGTACCAAAAATTTGCTGCAAGTAATATGCAAAGGCAGTCCTATTGCAACAAGGAGGATGCTGCTTGCAAGTTTTTTCGTGTTTCTGGGTTATCATCCTCCTTTAAGGTACTTAGCAGGTCTGCTTCATCAATTAAGCCTTCTAATTTTTGTATTAGTTTTATCTAGTTGTAATCCAATTCATTTCTGAAAAAAAAAAAAAAAACACCAAGGTATTTTTATTTATTTGTTGTAAGAAGCTTTGTTTAGCATAACATTAGGGAATTAAATCATATTAACTATTTGCTTCTTAAAATTTAATTCTCGTAATAACCTTCATTTTCATTTTTGCTGAAGTTAATTACTGTGAGTGTTAACCGGTCAATGAAGTAGATGTAGCATCTGCACTTTTAATTTTATCTGATATAATGTGCCTTGGTAGGAGTTAGTAGCCACAAACTCAGAATTTATCTGATAAACTGTGCCTTGGTAGTAGGGAGTAGGCACAAACTCGGACATGAGTTTCTCTGTAAATCTCAAAAAGATATGTATACCCCTACGTATCTAGAAATCACAAAATGGGATTATACTCTGTGCAGATTAGAATCGCTTGGTTTTTATAACATGTTGAGAAGAAATGCAATAATCCCAAGTTGATGCTGAAAATGTCATTTGGTGGCTCTAATAGACATGGCACACGCTCATTACATGGTGGTGGATAACATGTTAAGTTGAGTTTCATCCTTCGTTTCTAGCTGGATTCAAGGTCAATGGCACATGTTCCACTTTTTTTGAAAGATAAAGGATCTACATAATTTGGTGCAAGATCATAATTAATCTTCTATTCAATCATACTAGTCAGTTACATTGGTTGCCTTGGTTTGTACTTGGGAGAAAGTGATTGTGGTTCTTAGTGCTTTGCTTCTGACCCTGCAATAAATTGTTGAAATCCAGCCCAAGCATTAGGAGATCCATCTGTGACAATTGAACAAGTAACTCCTCCTGTTTTAACTTCGGGTGCACTCTTCCCTGCCGAGGTTCAACTTTTAACTGTATCAGCCTTTTCTTAGTTTTGACATCAATTTATTCATTGCTACGTTTCACATTCTTGTATCTTAATGCTAAGATAGGTTATTATTGTGTCTTATTGGTAGGAACGAATTGTCCAACTGTTTGAGAAGAACACTTACTCTGTTGTCAACATTTTTGATGTAACATTGCGCCCACAACTAAATGTAACTGGCATGGTCGAGGTACTCCAGCACTATATCTCATCCTTTTTCATTCTGTAAAACAAGCTTATATACCGAGAAATCAGGTGTGGTCCTGACGTCTTCTGCCTACTAAAAGGCGAGCATGGATTGGTCTATCCTGCAATGTGCTTATAAGCTATAATGCTAACTTGCTTAATTCATTTTATGTCTGATAGCAGATACCTGAGGGGAATGGTTCTGGGGTGGTCTGGGATGGACAGGGGCACATTGTGACGAATTATCATGGTAAGACCTATAGAATGAAATTGAAAATCAAAAGTTTGCAGTGGAAGTTAATTTGTCAAGTCTCCTGGCTCAGTATATGGAAGTTGTTTTCAGGTGGTTTATTGAGTGAGATTACACAATAAAATCTATATGTTCTGATTTTTGCAGAATATCTTCGTTCTTTTCTTTTTGGTTTTTTTTTGTACCTATGTTTTTTCAAGCCTTGTTACTGAATCAAATGCTGCAATGAGGTTTTTCATGGGAAACTTAATAGAGTCGTCTGAATATATTTTTGTTGTTTGCCATTTTGAGGGCTTTCTTGTTTGAATTATGAAAAATCAGTCTAATGTGGTATAAAATTTGACCTGCTGAACAATAAATTTTTGGAATTATTTAGATGCTTGAATCCTTTAAGACTGTTGGAGATCTGTAAAATTTGAGCATAACTGTTTTTTTTTTTTCCTTTTCTGTAATGCCTAGTGGTAGGAAATGCCCTTTCAAGAAATCCAAGCCCTGGGCAAGTTGTTGCACGAGTTAATATTCTTGCATCAGAAGGGTGAGATTTACAGTGACCTTAGACTATGCTGCTAAACTAAACTGCATTATGGAAGTTAATTATTGTGATAAAAATTAATGATTATTATTGCACTAATTTTCTTCATTTCTGCCGCTTTCAAAAGGTTACAAAAGAACTTTGAGGGTAAGTTGGTTGGCGCTGACCGGGCAAAGGACCTTGCTGTCTTGAAGGTACATTTTCCTAGCCCCATGCCTATTCTTCTTATTTTCTGAAAATAACACTCTTCTCTAAGTTCTCCTAATGTTACACGAACTGTGTGCCTTTTAATGGAAGTTTTAGTTGGGTCATTTAGTCCAATTGTCCCCATGCTTAATGCATGTAATTTTGACAAGTCATGTCAAGGCATTATCCTTTTGTTTCTGTATTCTTGAGCTGTTTAGAGCAGCTGGCAGGTGCAGTTTTTATTTTGTAGATATACCTCTTGTATGGTGTTTTGTTTGTAATATATCTGTCAATATCTTTATGATGCTAGGTAGAAGCATCTGAAGATCTGTTAAAGCCAATTAAGGTGGGGCAATCTTCCTCTCTGAGAGTTGGCCAGCAGTGTCTAGCAATTGGAAATCCATTTGGCTTTGATCACACTCTCACTGTTGGGGTTATTAGTGGACTGAATCGAGACATTTCCAGTCAAGCTGGAGTTACAGTTGGTGGTGGAATTCAAACAGATGCGGCAATCAATCCTGGGAATAGGTATGGTCTGGGTTCATTATAATTGCAAATTATTAACTCAAGCTCATCAACCATGATACTTCAAAGAAGGTGAAATATCCTTATGGGATTTAACCTCTGCCAATGCACCTTGAACATTTCTGGATCATGTTTGGTACCCCCGAAAGCATATTGTGCATTTCTTCTTTGTTTTCATGGTATGCATTTTGTCAGAACATCAAGGAAAAATGTCACCAATACATATCTGCCAAGATTTTAAGGTACATATTTTAACCAATGCATAAATTAGAAACATTAATAAAATTTAATTTCATGAATTATAACTACAGTAATTCAAAACTTAAATATAGATGAATATATGTATATGTTTATACTTCCTTGCCCTCATGCTCTATGTTTTGAAGAATTTTTCTAATTCCATCACTATGTCCCGTGTCCTTCTTGTCTTTGATATTCTACACTATTTACTAAACAGATTATCTATGCATCTGTAACATATTTCCATTTAACTTGTGCACTGGCTGTTGCTTTACATATTTCTGTTATCGTGGCAGTGGAGGTCCATTGTTGGATTCTAAAGGAAATTTAATTGGCATTAATACGGCAATATTTACGCGGACAGGTACCTTCCATTATATCTTTTATTCAATGACTAAGCAACAATGTTCTCTTTGCCATAATTCTTCTCAGTAACATAATTCGAAGAGAATTGGTAAGTTTCAAGCATTTAAATGCACTATAGTAGTCAGTTCATTTCACTTATGTAGGCATGATTGCATATAAGTTTCTGGTGAAAGACATGACTGAAGTAGTTGCAGAGGTAACTCAGGGAAGGAGATGCTTATGATATCCTTGCTACATGGTTTTCATAGCTGGTTTTGTTATGCAGGGACATCAGCTGGTGTAGGGTTTGCCATCCCATCTTCAACAGTACTCAAGATTGCACCGCAGTTAATCCAATTTAGTAAAGTAAGTTTTTTAACTAGTAGATTCTTCTTATTTATTTTTTTCCCCTTTAATTGAAGAGAGATACTTCATTCAATCATCAAGAGAGGTTTGGCCATAGTTTTACATAGTGGCTATTACATAGCATAAATGCTGTTATTTAACAGAGTCAGCCAGGCCGTTATCGGTTTTTGCTGTTATATGCTGAATAACCCTGATTCACACAAATAACGGCAATAACGGTGTTATATAACGATAACGGCTGTTATTGTCATTATTTGGTAAATAACAGAACAACAGCCCTTATATTATTGTTCCAAACAAAAAGTATTTTTGATTCTTTACTTTAGAATAAATTTATTAACAGCTGCTAATGGATTCTCGACATCGGTTGCCGCGACCGTTATTTCACTACTGTGATAAGCTGCGACTGATTTTATAACCATGCCCCCAATTGAAAACTATGGGTTTGGCTTCTAACAACAAGAGATTGAAGCCTACATCTGAGACAAGATTCATCTCCACTCTTAGTGGGATCGATTAGGGCTCTTTTATGTGCAGCCCCCTTACATGCTTGAATAAACAAAGTGATATTTACAGCATTGGAAAACTTTATCTAACTGAGCAGCATCATGAAGAACCATATGGGTTTCCTATCTAGCCTTAGCCCTAAAATTTAGATCATCAATTGCACTTTTAGCATCCCCTTCAAATTCCACTTTTCTAAGCCTTTATTCACAGCATACCCAACAGCCTTTCCAAGTGCCAAGGCTTTGATGTTCAAGGATCTGTAACTCCCTCACACACCTTGCTTTAGCCCTCTCCAGATTACCTGCCAAATCAAGACACAATTCCTATGCATCCCCTGTTCTGCTGTTTGTTAATTGCTCCATCAAAGTTGATCGTAACCACTTCATCCTGGTTCAGATTTTGGTCCTGAACATGCTGTCTCATTTTCCTTGAGTAGAACGTCACCATGCTCCTGCTTCTCTAATTCCTAGTTTTTGTCTAGATGACAATACTTAATCATTAAAGCACAAGTCGTTTTTTGGCATTCCATGGTCTCCAACAAAGAAGGCAAGGTAGCTCCAACATATCTTTCTCTATCTTTCTGATTTTAATGCATTGCTCTAGGCTCTCCCACCATTCTGCAAACAATGTCCCTGGCAATTCATCCGCTCTAAAGCCCCAGTGGAGAAATAAGTCAAGTTTGCCTTGCTCTTGGGCATTCTAGTTGCTTATTCAATCATATTCTTCCCATGTATTTGATACATGTAAGCATGGAGCATTTATATATTTTTTAATTTTGTTGTAATTTGTTGTTAGATCTCTTCAATTTGATATAATAGCAGTCTTGTTTCTTCTATTTAAGTTATGTTTGGGAAGGACCAGATTAACATTGGTCAGGCCTCAGCATCTGGATTTGGTTTCACCATCACCTGCTAATGTCCCAAAATATTTGCTGCTTCTTTGATAGTAATCCATGTATTATTTTTAAATTTTTCAGGTTGTTCGAGCTGGTTTGAATGTTGATATTGCTCCTGATCTGATAGCAAATCAACTTAATGTTCGAAATGGAGCTCTTATCCTGCAGGTATCACATTGAAGTTTTGTTTACACGCTTCCATAAACTAGTAAATTCTCTTTGTACATATGACTCATATGTATATTAACATTTTTCTGATAATTTCAGTTTTCGTGATTTACATTATGCTTTTGTAGGTGCCTAGAAATAGTCTTGCAGCCAAGGCTGGATTGGTACCTACTGCAAGAGGTTTTGCTGGAAACATTGTACTTGGGGACATTATTGTTGCTGTAGACAACAAACCTGTTAGTTCAGTTGCTGATGAATTTCTGTCCCTTTTTTTTTTTTTTTTTTTTTAATTTATGGATTGCAAATTTGGGACATTATAAACATGTATAGCCAAACCCTGTTTCTCATGGCAAACCTTAGCAGCTGCGAAAATAAGTTTTGGAGCTTGTCAAGATAAAGGGGGTGGTGTTTATGAAAGAAATGGAATAAACTGCTTTGTGTTGATGTGCATGTTAATCCTCAAGCTTAGATATGGAAAAGGTCCACTGAACTCTTATGCTTTTTTATGCTTTCTTCAACAGGTTAAAAACAAAGCAGGGTTGGACAAAGTGCTGGATGATTATAATGTGGGAGATAGAGTACTGTTGAGGATTCATAGGAGCAGTGAGGATCTGGAGGTGCCTGTAATTCTAGAGGAGAAGAGTTAAAGACAGGAATATATATGTATCAATAAGATTTGTTCTTGTCGATAGTTTCCAAATTATTAGAAAGGAAAGCATCATGCATTAGTGCGAATTTAATGACAGAAATTGTTGTGTTGGGTCCTTGTACAGCCAAGACCATTGAGGTCTACCGTTAAAAAAAAAGAAAAAAAATAAAGAAAGTTTTTATGGTGGCATTTGTCTTAAAAACTGTGCTTTGTTCCTTGTATGTGAACAACTTTAATGATTCACTTATCATGTGTAGCTGTGGCTCCAGTTTCATACCGTAAGGTTCTTGATCAACAGAATGGACTATTAATCAGCCTATTCAAAAGTGCCTAAAATTTGCCATCCATGCAGCTAGCAAGCCGTCCTGTGTGTTTTCCAAAGCTGTTTAGGAAAGTTTGGCATTTCAGGAGGCAGTTGATTGATGATGCTACCATTACATATTGAAATAAAGTATTTGGAGATTAGTTAACGTGGAGTACTGTTATAAATGGCATTATCAGTGCAGCAATGCCCATTAAAAAGCTATCACAATTCTAATCTGTTTTACATCCAAAACACACCATTTCAATTCTTAGGCAGCTTTAAGTTTTAGGGTTAATAGTTTAGTTTGTTTTTATATAATAGAAATATCATTTATTATGTCTTTATAGCTTCAATTGAGTTAATTTTATTTTTAAATATACGTTTATTTTCTAATCTATCATTCTTACAAGTTTTTTTAATACTAAAGTACTAAAATTAGTCACAAATTTACACGAAAACTTTCTATTTATCTTATTTGTAAGAATAATTTAAGAATAAAAAATAATTATATGCAAATTATATGATTAATTTTGATTGTTTGACTTGAAATCTTGCTAAAATAATATATTAGAAACTTAAGCATATATTTAAAAATAGAATTAGCTTAATAAGAAATATAAAAATAGATTGGAGAAAAATTAATTACTAACTTATTATTTTTTTTATATGTGTAATTTTTAATTTTTGCTATTTGGATAAACCAACTTGCAATTTTTTTTATGTATATATTTGAGTGATCATTTGACTCTTTACTAATCATACGAGATCCTTTTCCCACACGTGACAGATACTTAGATAAAGAAAAAAGTTGGAAAAAAAAAGAATAAAAAAAGAGAGGGTAAAACGGAAAACGGACAGACTCCACCAAAGTAAATTATAAATTAGTCTTTCTAATTTTAAGAAATAAATTAATTATTTTTTTCATTTAAAAAATTATTATTTAGCCATTTGATCAACGTTGATCATACTTAATTTAATATTTTTTTATTCTACAAATTCTTCTCTTCTCATTAATCTTAATATATTTTTTTCTTTTTTTTCCTATTTTTTAAAACAAAAAAATCAAAATAAACCAAAAAAGAATAAAAAAAATAAATTACAAATAGATTTAAAAAAATATAAAAACTAAATGATTAGTTTTTAAAATAAAAAAGACTAATTAATTTATTTCTCGAAACAAGAATGACTAGTTTATAATTTACCCACCACTTGAAAGTTGCTAATTAATTTTATTTTTTATTTTCAAGTCCCTAATACACCACTAGCTTCACCACCAAGTCCATCACCACCACCACTTCTTCCATCTCCAAGCCCACCAACAAAGCCGCCACCGCATTGCCACAAATACCACCACCTATTTCTACACCTCCACCACCCTCAACAACACCTCCTCCCAATCCACATCAAGCTCAACAACTAGTACCCCTACCAAATCCAACACCAACTTAATCACTAAACCCATCACCTTCTCTAAATCCTCGACTACCATTAAGCCTACCACCGGCACTAGCACTACCTTCAAATCCATTGTTATGCTTACATGTGAGATGTCGTTAACGTCAATAGTTAGTATAATAAATAGCTAATGATAGGCATTTAGTTAGAAAATATTAGTTAGTATAATTATCTTTGACGAGCTCGCAATTATTGTTAGATAGTTAGTTAGAAGAATTAGTTGGAGTAGTATATATATATATATATATATATAAAAGGAGAGAAAGAAAGAGAGATTCATTCAATTGTTAAAATGAAAACGAAATCAAATTGAAATTCTCCTTTCAATCCTCATCATCATCTTCTTCTTCTTCCTTTCTCTCAATCTTCTTCCATTTCATCTTTATTAAGCAATATCTCTTAACAAATTGGTATTGGAGCTCATATGGGACCAACAGATCTTCTATCATGAAGGATAACAATCATATGTGAGCATTAGAAAAGCAAAGCAGGAAGTATGATGAATAGTTCCAAAGTTTGTTGTTTGAATTTTAAGAAATATAAAGGTGATCAAGAAAAATATGGAGGTGCAAACGTAGTAAGTGTAGCTTCAAATTAAAGCTTTGATGAAGTCAATCAAATTAGTCATGGATGATAAAAAACTAAAGAAGGAGCCGAGATCATCTTCGAATTTCTCACATGGAGGAAATGTGGCTCCAAAACCTATTCACCACACCAATCAAGGTGAATCATTGCTAGCACTCGAATTTGTGAAATTAGGTTATAATTCCTCCATTCCTAAAGTGGACTTACAAATGTTTTAGGGAAAAAATTTGAGAGGCTAGGTTCGGAGATGTAAGAAATTCTTTAAAATGAATTTCACTCCAGTACATCACTAGATAAAGATTGCTTCCATGTATCTTGAAGAAAGAGCGTAAATTTGGTTTGAAGAATTTATAGTGGGAAATGATCTTGGTAAATTGGAAGAATTTGTTAGGAAGCTATGCGAAGGTTTGACAATAAGAAAGATATGGTAGATCAGTTTAATAAGCTTAATTAAGAAAGGGATGCGAACGATATCTTGAAAATTTTGAGGAACTCAAATCTTTGATGACTTCAAACAATCCATATTTACTTGAATCCACTTTGTTTCTAATGTTATTAGTGGCTCAAATAAGATATCAAGCCTACGTTGAAGATTTTATAACTTACTACCTCAACACAAGCCTTTGACCAAACAAAATGGCAAGAGGAGTCCGTGAATGCCATTGCCAAAAATCCAAAAATCCTTTAAAGAGCTTCTTACCACCCACCTATACTACCATAAAGCCTTATTCAACACAATATCCTACCTATAATGAAGACAAGTCATTCTATAAACCATATATTCCTTTAACTAAAAATGAAAACAACAATCCACTTAAGCTTGTAAACACCAATCTACCAAAAACATAACCGAGATCGTTTATAAGATCGGAGGAGGATGATGGGATTATGTTTTAGGTGTGAGGATAAATACTTTCTTGGCTATCAACGTGTTAGAAAAATATTATATGTGTTAGAAGAAGTGAAAGGAGAGAGTGATGAAATTATGGATTTGAAAGAAGAAAATGAAATAGAGGGTGTGCTTGATGAAAGAAGTGATGATGAACAAGGATTTTCCTTACATGCTTTAGCTAGAAAATATGTAAACAATACCATTAAGATTAAAGAAAGTTGTAACAACGAAGATATTGAAGTCTTAATTGTCAATGGAAGCACTCATAGCTTCATAATTGAAAGAGTAGTGAAGGAGATCAAGGCTAAATAAAAAAGACCACCACTCTATCAGTAATAGTAGCAAATAATGTTGTGATGAAATGCCTAGCCGAAGTCCAAGGTTTACATGGTTTATGCAAGGGCATAAATTTAAGGCCGATTTGAGGACTTTAGAACTAGGAGGTTGTGATATGATGCTTGGAGTCAATTGGTTCCAGAAATACTCTCTACTTTTGTTTGATTTTATCAATATGACATTATCATTTAAAAATAATGGAAGAGTAATTGAGTTTGATGGAACAATTGAGGTGGTCAAGCTATATTAATTAACAATTAGCAAGATGTATAAGACACTAAAATCTATAGTATATAAATTGGTGGGGCAAATATTTTCCATTATTATCCGTACCGAATTAGAACTAATAACTAATGGAGAGATTAAGGCACTACTCGTTTCAATATGCAAGAGTTTTTACATAACCAAAGACACTACCACAAGTGAGGAGGTTCGATCATAAGATTATCTTGACTCTTAGGGCTAAACCAGTCAACCTTTAACCCTATAGGATCTTAACGAAATGTTACACAATGGGGTCATCCAACAAAGTTGCAGTCCATTTACATCACCTAAAATGTTAGTCAAGAAGAAAGAGGGAACTTGGAGGTTTTACATTGACTATCGACAACTTAACCATATTATTATCAAAAACAAAATACTCATTTCCTTCATTGATGATCTACTAGATGAATTACAAGATTCACATTTCTTTTCAAAAATTGACTTAAGGGTCGGTATCATCAAGTGAGAATGCATTAGGCTAACATTGAGAAGATAAATTTTAAGACTTACTAGAAGCACTATGAGTTCAAGGTCATGCCTTTAAGATTGACCAACACCCTAGAAATGTTTCAAGCCATGATGAATGTTGTCTTAGAGACTTATTTGAAAAAAAATTTCCCGATGTTCTTTAACGACTCGTTGATTTGTAGCCCTACCCTAGAATTATATATTTAACACCTTTACAAGGTGTTAGGAGTTCTATTGAGAAACAAGTTATTTACTAGGAGGTCAAAATGCTCATTTATTTTTTCTTTACAAACAGAGGTGGTACCTCGATAATTTATTAATAAATAAATAAAAATAAACAAAGAGGGACAAACCAGACTCTAGCCCAACAATTGGGAGGACAAGGAAGCCTAACCCTTAAGAAACTTCAAAGTTGTTATGAAGTTAAAAAAGAAAATGATACAGATCATATCTAAGCTTAAAACAATATAGTGGAGAACAATAAAATAGGAAAGTTCCTATAAAGAACTCAAAGGCACAAGTTGCCTACACAAAATACCAACTAAAAACTCAAGCTAGCCTAAAGTTAAAGAGTCCTACTCTATCCTCTTGAATGAGTTTCCTACAACCTATGGAAAGGTCTTGCAAATGGAAGATGGTTTTATGAGACCGATGGCGATATGCCCAACTAGCTAGCCCATCTACCACTTTATTGGTTTCTCTTATTGCATGTCGAAGCCTTATTCCCGGATTCAAATTACCTATACACTCCCCGTACAAATATGTTAATTTCCATATGTATGATGTTGAGCCGTAAAGTCCTCCGAGTCCGATAACCGAGTCCGATTCAATAATGTTAACCTTGAGTCTATAATATTTGCAAATAGAAAGCCCCTCCATAATTGCTAATATCTCTCCCCTATTATTGGTTCCCAAACCATAAAAGCTTGAGAAAGCCATTACTAGGTTGCCTTGTGCATCCCTAATAATGCCTCTTTCACTCGCAAATATTATTTCTAGATGCACCATCCGTGTTAATCTTTAAAGAGCCAATTGGTGGAAGCCTCCATCCGACCTAAATACCATAACCCATGCTAGGAGTCTTTATCGAAATGCCTAAGGCTTGCAAGCATAATCTGTTATGGAATGATGAAGCTTTTTTGGGATGATCAATCTGTTCATATTGGATAGCCAATGAATCACTTTGTGCTTAATGGTCATAAAGCTCATGGCCTTATCCTTAAAGAAGGCTTTATTCCTTGCTAACCACAACTCACAAATGATACAATTAAAATTAATAATGTGAGAAACTGATTTTTGAGAGTAAGGAATACCTCTAGGAAACCACTTTGTCACAAGTTGCTTGGAATGTCAAGCTTCTCGTGGAGATATCCAACATTCCTCCAAAAAAAAGTTCCATGCTTACTTGGCAACATCACTTAACAAGAAGAGGTGCTCCCTGGACTCCTCTTGCGGCATGCTACAACATTGCCATTTAGAAGCTATAGGTATCCCACAAACCTTGATGTTTGTTTCCACCGTTACTCGCATTGTTCATCAATTTCCAAACCATAACACCGATTTTTGTGGAATCCATTTGTTCCATAAACTTTTTCACCATTCAAACTTCGCCCATGAGCTCTGCTAGCTTCATAATAATCCCTACTCGCTAAAATTTCTTGATTTGAAGTCCATGTAGCATAACTTATCGTCCACGCTACTATCCGAAGCAATCTATCCAATTCATGCCCGATTTGATGTGGCGAGAAAAACATACACTTGAGCATCACTTTTGGCTTAAGCTAGAGTGATTCCTTGATCCAATGTAGGAGATGGAAGATCCGCTAGCATCCATCTATCCCTCCAAACTCGATCTACCCCATTCCTATAACCCAAACCGATCTATCCAGCGAGGCTTGTATGTGTGGCTCGATGGATTTCCATACCAACGAACCTCTACCTTTTTCGGTTTCGTATAACCCGTGTGGCATTCCATACTTAGCTCTAACAAAGGAACTCCACATAGATGAAGTTGATAAGTATGCCCATGCAAATTTGCTTTTCATAGAATGTATCACCTCTTTCAAGTCTCTCACTCCTAATCCACCTTCTTGTAAAGAGAGGGATACTTTACGCTAGCTTACCTAATGATGTCGTCTCTCACTCCCGTTATTCCAAAAAAAAAAAAATGGATATGTAGCTTTGTAGTTTAGCTAGTGTAGTTTTTGGAATTGGGAGAACTCTCATCGTATAAATGGAAATAAAAGAGAGAATACTTAATATTAGTATTAGTTTTCCCTTTAATGACAAAAGTTTTCCTTTCCATTCGAGCACCTTCTTTCAATTTAGTTTCTAAATCAGCAAACTAGTGTATACGACTTTTCCCTTTAGAAAATGGCATACCTAAATATTTAATAACATCTAGAGTGATAACAAATCCTGTCCATGTAGAGAGCATACCTTTCCTATTAGGTGAAATTTTATTGCCACACAATAATGTGCTTTTCCCGGAATTAATCAATCGCCCACTAGCCTTGCCATACTTCTATAACAAAGCCATCATGTTATCCAATGTTTTTTTACCCCTATTACAAAATACTATGTCATCTACAAACAATAAATGTGAGATAACAAGCATATTTCTATTAGAATAATAGGGAGTGATAAAACCTTTATTTATCCATGCATTTAGTTGATGGCTAAATGTATCCCGAGCAAGTATGAATAGGGCGATATATAGTGGGTCTCCTATCCCCTATGGGATTTGAAAAATCCAAATGTTTTGGAACTCGGACACACCGAGTACCAATAATTACACAAGCACCAATATATCAAATTACACGAGGACTTTAAAAACCTAAATTTTCTCATGAATGAAAGTAATAATCTCCATTCCAATATGTCATATGCCTTAGTCATATCCACCTTAAGAATGACATTACCCCCATGAATTTTTTTATCAATGTCGCTAAAAAGTTCCTATGCCAAAGCAACATTCTCATCTATGGCTCTTCCTTTCACGAAACTAGATTGCTCCTTAGAAATGAGCAAATGGAAAAACTTTGCTCAGCCTATTATTTATCACTTAGGATAAAATCTTATAAGTGAAATTGTATAAACTAATGTGCTTCAAATCTGAAAAATTTGATGGGTCAAAGCATTTTGGGATCAATACTAGGGTAGTTGCTAAAATCACATCTTGACCGATAAGTTTCTAGCATGTTTTGAAGAAGAAACTAATAAACCTATCCGGCCCTTAGGCACTCCGACCATATAGTTCAAATACAACATCCTTGACTTCTTCTATGGTAGGGATGCATATAAGATCATTATTCCGAGCCTCCAAAATCAATTTAGGAATTTCAGCCAAGATGTCATCTACCATCGTAGCCCTTCACTTGTAAATATTTTCTAGAAGTGTAACACTCGCCTCTCTTTCTAGAACATTAGTATCCGGACACAACGAACCATCATCCACTATGAGAGCTAGTGTAGCTTTTATAGCCCTATTTCTCATACTTGCCTAAAAAAAGGTCGAATTGCGATCTTCCATAGCTAACCATTTAACCCTAGATTTTTCCCGAAGCAAAAGTTCTTTCGATCAACCAAAGTCGCCGATCCGTCTTTATCTACTTTCATCCGTCCATAATTCCTTTAACTCCAGCATCCCCGTAAAGCCGATTTAGATTGAATAACCTCATCCCCGGCATGATCTAGCTTTTTAGAGGTCTCCGAAAACATTCTAGTTCTAAAATTTTAGCTCCCTCTATAATTTTTTTAGCTTCAAATATAAATTCATAAATGGAATCCGAATTAGCCGATTATTCCAGACTTCCGTTGAACAAACGGTAAAAATTTCCCATGAGTTGCCCATATTCTTTTGTAGCTAAACCTTATCAACTTTGGTTCCGATGACTTGATAGATACTAATATAGGATAATGATCCGAGTGCAATCTCTCCGGATGATTACATATTAATCGCGAAAAAATTGATAGTAGATTGTGATTGACTAGAACCTTGTCTAATCTTTTCCATATACATGCCCTTCCCACTTGATTGTCGCACCATGTGTACTTTCTTCCTCTATAACCAATATCCTACATCCCCAAAAGTTGAAAGCCGCTGTTAAAATCAAAAATTGAGTTGCGATCAGGCTATTGACCGCTAATTTTCTCTAAGAAATCCGTTATTGCATTAAAGTCTCCTCCAATTATCCATGGTTGGGATACATTCGGAGCATGTAAATTATTCCACAAATTTCTTCTTTCAATTGCATTACAACTTGCATACACCGTTGTAAGTAATGTACTATAGTTATCATATGAATTTTACACTAAAATAGTAATTGACTATGAGCAAACCTCTCAAACCCCTACCGATAAATCATCTTTCCATAATATCCAGATATGTGAGTTAATTGGTTTTCCATGTAGGAAACCCAAAAAGTTCAAATAACGAGCCAATTTTGGTAGTTTATCACATCCATGTTTAGGCTCTAATAGAATCAAAAGAGATACCCGATTTATCTAAACAAGTCTTCATAAATATCTCTTTGTTTTTTGGGCTCCAACACCCCTAACACTCCATATAAGACTATTCATATGGAAGAGAGAAAAAGGGCTCTCCATTATGATCCCCTACCGATCTAGTCACCCTTTGGCCTTTACTCCGAACCAACGATCGTAAAATTTTCTTTTCTCGCTTATTCATCAATTTTCAGCCTTGCGATTGCAGCCCTTTTACTTTCTAGTGATACTCTACCTCAACCCGGGTTTGTTTATCCATGCATGAAAATTACCCGAGGTGATAGTTGAGGCTTCAAATAATCTTTGATATTCCCATCATCCATGCTATCTTGGTTAACACCATTAAGGGAGTCGAAAGGATTGTGCATGATCGATTGCTCATCGTCCGGAAAAGTGCAAGTTTCCCTTACACCTCTTAGAATAAAGCTTTCCTCCGTAAACATAATTTCATGGATAATCATATTCGACTCATGCTACATTATCCTCTTGGGGTTCGAGTTCCTATATCATCTGCTACTCGTTACTATTTCTCCGATTTGAATCTGCATGTGTTATGATTGTGTTTGTGTTGTTACAACCGTGAGAATGGAAAACTCCCCACTTTCTTTAATTCCATTAGTGGCCATATGCTGGTCATTTGACTAATCAATACAATTTTGTTTAGTGTTCCCTGTGGTTGATCATGTTGGCTCCCTTATTTTCTATCAAACCAGCTTCTCCCATGCACGTAATCCCCATTATAAGTATAAACCGATTCTCCTCTATTTCCCATATCGAATACCGCATGCTTCGTTTGCATTTGGCATGCCCCGTTAATACGTAAACGTGGTTATAGCTCTTTTTTATCTCCTTGAACATAGTTAACCCAAGGCTATAACCGATGTTCTATGATTTTCCCCTTTCCTCTCCACTCGGGCAATATGAGTAGTCGTCCTAATACACTTTATTGTATCGGATGATTGACTTTGTAATCTAAAGGGTTTGTTTCTAACAATTTTCCATCCTAACTCCTTGTGTCTTGTCTAAACTAAAGGGGGTTTAGAGGCTAATATCCATCCCCGCTTCGTTCCTTGGCTAGCAGTAGTAGTTGCATATTGATACTCGTTTCCCCGCTTGTTTCCTTACCATTTTCGATAGCTACTCTTCATATGCCCTTCGAAGTGGAAATATTCACAATATTTAGTGTTGGATTCTATGAGAATTGGTTGCCAAAATCCGTTAGATTTGTCCATACTTATTGAGATCCATACCCTCGATGGAATCTATTTTATGAGATTGACTTTTACAAAAACTCTTATATGCATAGGATGTGAGCCATTTTTATGCGATTTTCTAGGCATAGAAGGTCACCAATTGATCTAATAAATTCCTTAAGAAAAGTCGATGGAAAAAAAAAGGTGGAGGAAATCCAAAAATAAGCCATAAAGCGACCACTTGTAGATTCATATTTCGTAGAAAGCCATATGTCCAATGAAATAGCCCGAACATGGCATTGTCTCTATAATGGTGTTCATGTGACCAAGCTCTAATCATATCTTCTTTGTTAAACGTACTCGATTAATATATTATGGGAGTCTAACAATCCTATCACCGGCATCTCGTCTAAGCCCCATTTCTAATGAATATGTGTGCGAATAGCATTGATTGGAGGTTTAGATTTTGAAAACTTTACAACCAAGAAGAACTCAAATATTTTTGAAGATAGTTAAAGATTTGTTTTAGAAAAGGCTACTATTGGTTCCCCTTCATGATTGGATGGAGGTTCCGGTGTGATTTTTAGTGAGGGGAAATCATGCTTAGCCTCTATTTTGGATGTGGCGATTATAGCAAAGGTAGGCTTAGGTATTTTGATTTGTGGCAATACCGGTTCTGTTATTTTAGCTTCGAGGCTTTCCCGATGCAGCTTGTTAGGGTTATGGTACATTATCCGGTAAGTTTTCCTTATATGCTTTCCGGTGTGTTACTTGGGACTCGCACTATTCTTAGGGAGGGTAGGAAGATGGTTGTGTCGGTTTAGATTGCATCTAGATTTGGATAGGGGTGTGTTGGTGTAAGTCCGTTAGTTTATAGCGATGGGTTTATGGGAAGGCTCTCTACTATCTCGGCTCTCTACTATCTCCCCCATAGGGAAAACATGCGAGCCAAGGATTCTACTAATGTGGTTGTGCTTCCATGGCTACCATAATGAAGAGGTAAGGTTTAATTTCCTTGATTATGAAATGTTGTATGAAAAAAATGCTCATTTGGATAGACTAGAATAGATTATTTGAGTCATCTTATTTTAGGAGCTAGGGTGGTAACTAATCCAAAGAAGATAGAAGGAGTAAACAAGTGACCAACTCCTCAATCTATTAAAGAACCTAGAAGATTCTTGGGTCTAGTAAGGTACTACAAAAAGTTTATTTATAACTATGGGTTGATCACTAAATCATTAACCACCTTATCGAAGAAGAATAATTTCCATTAGAGTGAACCAACTTAACAAACTTTTGAATAATTAAAAATTATGTTATGCAACCTTTAGTTCTAGCTCGCCAAATTTTTAGAAACCATTTGTATTGGAAACTAATGCAAGTGCTTTTGAATTAGGGGTTGGTACTATCTTAGATATGTCGACCATTAGCCTTTTTCAACAAGGCCTTGTGTTCTAAGCACCTAGTAATGTCCATCTACGAGAAGGAATACTTAGCCATTCTAATGGTAATGGATAAATTAAGGCATTACCTAGAGAAAATTATTATCGGGATTGACTATGAGAGCTTAAAGTATCTTTTGGCATAAAGGATACTCTCTCCAATTCAAAAGAAAGAGCTTACCAAAATGCTTGGGCTGACTTATGAAATCTAATACAAAAAGAGAAAGAACAATTTAGTGAATGATGCATTATCTATAAGACTTTTTACTTATGAAGTTTCTAAGCGGAATGAAGAAGGCTCCCTCGGTTCCATTACCATTGTGCAACCAGCTTAGCATCAAGACATCTTGGATTCTTATAAATAAGACTATAAGGCCCAAAAGATTATTGTTTCTAAAAGCTTGTAGGATAATGTCTTTCCTTAATTCTCTTATGATGATGGTATACCGAGGTACAAGAACAAAGTCTTCATTGGGAATAATCACACACTTAGGAGGAAATTACTAGAAATTGCTCATCAATTAGCAATCGGGGAGCATGCTTGGGGTACAAAACTCTCATAGAAGGCTTAAGAGTTCTTTTTATTGGTCGCTAATGAAGTCTATGGCAAAGGCTGAATATGAAATTCATCAATAGGCCAAACAAGAGAGAGTGGCTTATCCTAGACTCTATTACCATTATCTAGTTCGGATGAAGCTTGGATAGATATTTTCGGAGATTTTATGGAGGGTTTTCCAAAACTAAGGGCAAGGATACTATATTGGTGGTTGTTGACAGATTTACCAAATACGGATATTTCATTACCTTGTCAAACCCTTTCTTTACTAAAGATGTAGCAAGGCCATTAATGAACCATGTTTATAAGTTCTATGGATTGGTAGGTTCTATTATCATAAATAGAGACAAGGTTTTCACTAGTCTTTTTTGGAATGAGTTATTCAATTTCTTAGGCATTCAACTCCTCATAACCTTAGCATATCACCCTAAAATTAATGGCCAAACAGAGAGATTGAATCAATTTTTAGAGACTTACTTGAGATGTATATGCCTAGACTATCCAAAGAAGTGGCATCAATGGCTACACCTTACTCGAGTAGTGGTATAATTTGAGCTATTACTCTACCATCCAGATGGCACATTTCCAAGCCTTGTTTGACTATCCACCACTAATAAGAGAGCTAATACTTCTAGGAACCAATATAGTGGTTGTTGTTTAAAAGATGTTATTAGAGAGATGGGGATTGGATTTATTCTTTTGAGCTCAATTGACTAAAGCTTATCATTGCATGAAGTAAATAGTTGATCAAAAAGGACAAAGATGAAATTTATAATGTGGGATCAAGTATACTTGAAGTTGCAGCCATATCACCAACTAAGTGATGCCATTAAATAAATTTCAAATTAAATCCTTGATATTATGGTCTTTATACAACTTTTTAGATGATTAGTAAGGTGGCCTATTGTCACGACCCCCGAAGTAGGCCATGACCAGGTATGAGAATTGAGAGAATTGTGAGGCTCACCTCGACTTAAGCAAACCTCAAATATCCGATCTATAATCCTTAATCATTTTAATTTACATTATCCTAACTTAATAATCATTATTTTATATCTCCAACATAAATGGTATTTTAATACTATTCATGTATTTCTCAAATCAACTTCTAATACAATTCCCACAAGATATAACTATAGAGCTTCTAAGAATTTTTACAAAGTCAAACATGAGTTTTAAAAGATTATAAGTAAATAAGTTGAATGATCAATGTGTTAACTTCAAGACAAGTAGCCGAGTGGAAGCTAAAAGGACACTCTCACAAATCCCGCAAAACTAAAATTATGAAGGATGAGCAAATCAACAGTTTAGTGAGTAGATACTATATAACATATCTACGAGAGGGAAACGGACTAAAGATGATAACTAAAAATTTGAACATGATTCCATCTTTATTTCTTCAAAACGAATACATATCATAAATACCGAATCTTAAATGGTTCAAAACTAATTCATATCAAATCGTCAAAATATTTACATATATACATATATTATACCGAAATCAAATCAAGTATCCGAATTACACTTATATATCATAATAAAATCAAATCATACTTTTAAGTTTGTATCACACTTCGAGTGAAACACATAACGTATTATTAGATGTGAACATCCAAAGGTCATGCCCTCGGTGACTAGGCTTTCATATGTTGGTCGACACACGAGCTAACACTATACTTCTCTTACTAGCTAGAACCTCGTATCATTGAGCTCAAAGGCTATGTCCCCCATAACTAGGTTATAATTTCTCAAACCTAAAAATAAATAAATTAATATCTTAAATGAATGTCAAAATTAGTTTGTATGCATAGAATAATTATCTCGAAGGGTGCTAGAATATTCTATGCATTTGGGTGAATTTTTCTATGCTCGGTGATTATTTTATGTGGTTTTTCTTTACATGAATAGTGCTTTTTATGTAAATTAATTATTTTGAGTGCTTTAAATGTGTACAAAAATTATTTTATGAGCATAAAAAAATTAATAAAGAGGTGTAGGAATATTCCATGCACTTAAGTTGATTTTTTTGAGTTAAGGAATATTTTCTATATGAATAAGTGCATTTTATTACAAAATAATTAATTTGAGTGCTTAAATATATGTATAAAAATTATGTGAATGATGAATAGATTACTATAGGAAGTTTTTGAATTTATTTTGAAAAGAAATTAATTTTCAAAAAGGTGTGGAATAAATTATGCACACATACGGACCTAATTGCATACAATTAGGGATCCAATTGCATAAAGTTAAAAGTTTAAGCTTTCAAATAAAATTATAAATGAACATGAGGAAGCAAAAATTTGTTAAAAAAGCTTTAAAGGAAGGACTCGAATTTGTCAATTGAAATTTTAGAGGGCTTATGGAGGAGTAAAAATAAGATAAAGTAATAAATAGAGAGACTAAAATAAAACATTTTGAGAAGAGATTTTTCTCCCAATTTTGCCACCTCTCATCCTTAATGATTAAGGGTTATTAATTAACTTTGACCTATGAACACAATTGATGGTTAAGATGAAGTAAAATGGAGGGATGAGATTTAAAGAAAAAAAGAAAGGTTAGGATTAAAAAAAATGAAAGGATAGGATTAAAAGTAAAATTAGGGGTTAAGATTAAACCAAATGAAGGGCCAAGATCAAGTCAAACCACCCAAAATTCTACTTAAGCTCATTTATAAATAGGACTAGAAAATGTTAGAAAAATTGGAAAAACTAGGGGAAATTCTTGCAAATTTTCCATAGAAAATCACAAGAAATCTCACCTAAAGCTTTAAATCACCCTAAAACACTTTAATAAGCTTCAAATTTTTGGTGGTGGAGCAAAATTTCCAAGGAAGAAAAAGTTAGGGTTTAGCTGAAAATTTAGGAGAAAAAAAGAGAAGAAAATTCCAAGAAAATTCTAGCTAACAAAGAATAATTTGGAGCTTTTGAGGTAAGTTAATCTCACCTATATCACAAGAAAATTTTAATTGATGTTAATTGATGATTTTGCATCTTTAATTTGTATTTAATTGAATTAATTTCACAAAATAGGGTTAGGGTTCTTAGTTAGAAAAAATAGGAAAAATGATTCGGACATGAAAATTAATGCAATTGATATTCAAATATGTTAATTGCACATGAAAATTGGTAAGAAAAATAAAAATTTCCTTGGCCGATTCTTGTTGGAAGTTTTAGCCCAAATAGTGAATTTAGGGGTTTTTGGTGCATTTGTTTATCCGATGTTTGATTGATCAACTTCATATTAGTTAAGTATAAACAATTGATTTCGCAAGAAAAATTACATTAAAATAAAAAAATTTACCTTGTTTACCTTAGGTGAAAATTCGATCTAATTAATGCTAAATTAGGATTTTTAGTGCAATTGATGCATTGATGCCTAATTGATTAAATTCATGTTATTGAAGTACATTTGGATGGTTAGTGTGGAAATTAGCTTTGACATTGAAAAATTCACCTAGCTTAAGCTAGGTGTGTATTCGACCCAATTAAAGAAAAATAGGGTTTTAATGTCTTAAGTGTTTTCATGGTTACCTAATGGCAATGCATGTTTCGTGATGTATAATTATGTGTTTGATATGGTTGCCTATGTTTTGTGGATGTGTGAATAAATAAGGTGCAATGTATTGTGATTAAGTGACCTTGCCAAATATGATGTGATATGGTTACCATGCTAAATATTTCAATGTTTAGAATGAGATGAATTTCATATTATGTGCATTTTTGTATTATTA